CACGAAGATTCAACACACACTCAGATAGATGAAAATAACCAGGAGAGACGCCAAAAATTTTGACGTGGAAAACTCAGAAAGGGAAAAATCACAGGGGTCTAGCCTAATTGTAAAAATCTATTATAATTTGATGATTACAGAGACTTCTTGTCCTACAGACAGAAAATGATTATAAAGTCTTTTGAATTACAACATCAATGTGTGGATAAACTTGTTGCAAAGAACAGAAAGTGAACTATACTGATCGGAGACAACCAATGAGTGGTAGTTGACAGTGGTTGGTTACGATCGACGACGATCAGCGGTGGTTAACTGTTGTTGGCGGTGATCAATGACAATAAGAGCGATGTTGGATTTCAGCTCTTTCTTAAAGCTTCATGTCTCAAGCCCCCCCCCCTCACGAGAGAGATTTGGCTCTATTTATAGAGTTATGTGTTCAATTAATGCAAGAATATCAACTACTTTGATCAAACAACTCGAAGAGCTTCCCTCGATTAGAAGACATTTGATGAACATTTGAGTGTAACAACTCGAAGAGCTTCCTCGATTAGAAGACATTTGATGAACATTTGAGTGTCTTAATGATGTCGGAATTGAGCAATCATGTGCTCATTGGATTCATCTTGTCGAGGAGATGCTCGATTCGACTATGAACTCGTCAAATTTGACATTGGTTTGTCTTTTCAAATATTCTCGAAAAGCTTCCAAATGTGGTTTAAGGACTTGATCTGATCATGATTTGACTCGAATTAGACCAATTTGATACCATTGGGTCCGTCTCGTCGAGCCAGTCAGTTTGATTGCATGTTTATTAAAAATTGGAGTTTTGATTGACTTTTTATCAACACTTCTTGCTCAAAATATTATCTCGAGACTCATATCAGGCATCAAAATTCATGTTTGATGAAAAATTTGTTAATGATATATCAATTAAAAAAGAAAATTATAAGACCAGTCATAAAACTAATATAATTCTATCAAAAAAATATCAAAATATTCTAACAATACCTCCTTGAGAAATTTGCATGCATGCTTTGTTTGAGGGAACTTCGGCGAAGCTTCTTCAAAATTCAGTTCTGTAGATGGAGCTGAGCCTGTGCGATCCATAATGTCCAAATTTTTGAGGCGTCGACACTGCACTAAACAAAACAGAGCTTCACCGACAGATTAAATGAAGCATAAATATTTGAGTGGTACACCGTAGACATGTACATGAATGTTTAGGTGTTGGATAAATATATACATAAGAATTATATGGTATGTATATACATGCCCCTGTATCATTTTTGTTGGCATGGGTATGCAAATCTTCCCACCATAAAAACTAATAATTCAATAGTAAATAAATAGCTGGTTCCTTCATATTTTTAAGCTAATTTCTTGTGATGAATACACTTCATAAAGCAACAATATAAATATGCACCTCGTCACATATTTCTTTCAAAATCATTGGATTTATATATATCACATAGCTCATGTGAAGCATAATTGAATGTAATGGTCCCCCGGCCCATACTCTTTGCTCAATTATATTTTAATTTCAAATAGAATAACTAGCTTGTTTGGATTTCCTAAATAAAAAACTAAGCTTGGTTTAGTTGTTAAACCACCCACCTTATAATTTCATAAATGAAAATTATCGAGGATGTTGAACCTTTTTAGAATGCAGGGACTGTTATATTATCCGAGAGTTCATATAACTTGAGCTTGTTTTCTTCATGAATTCCCGGTGGAGAAAAAAGATAATTAGGAAAAAATAAGTATGAAATTACATGTATGGTATTATGTTTGTTCATGGTGTATTGATGAGAAGATCACGTCGTGATTGTCAAGCGACACTTTAAATAAGAATTGATACACGCCATTGCATGTAATGATGATCTTCTTTGATAGTTGGTTTGTCCTGGACTAATTCTACCATTTCGTCAGGTAGACCACTTCGGCAAGTCGGCTCAGTTTGTGGGAATGAATTGATTTCTGATATGAGCCTTCGAGACCGTAAGACCTATTGATCTTTATGTCATGCCCATGAAGAAAAGTTATGGATGTTTCCGGGTATACAATGACCTAATCAAGCAAAAGCAATTGCAAATGGGCATGCACAGGGACTTTGACAAAGTGCACCAGTTCAGGTGTAAAGCTTTGGATAGTTTCCAGAGTTGAAAAACAGAAAGTTACATTGAATTAGAAGTGATAAATAACTTGAAATATTCGTATTTACAAAATTATCACTTTGATTATTTTATTTGGACGATCCAATGTATGTATATATATATATATCCAAATAAATTACAAAATATCTTGATAAATTGAAATAATTGTTGAGCCAAAAAATTTTGTGTTGCTTTGATAAAGATATTAAGTGATAAATTTTTAGGAACTTTTAAAATGAATAATCTCTTAAATTTGTTTAACTTATTTTTTGAATATTTATTAATAAATTAACATTTTAAATATAAGAATATTATATAAGTGAAAGTATTTATCATAATATTCTCTCTTTCTTTGTGGGGAAAACTTGAGAAAAGAGCCCAACTTTTTTCACTTCAAAATAATGGTTACAAAAAGTCAAATGTGCATCAAAATGAGGACATAATAATATGGACCAAACTTACAAGTAGAAAATGAAACAAAATCATAATGAAAAGTTGTACGCAAAATAAAGAAAATGAAACAAAAAAAAAGGAGGGCTGAGTCCAAATTGATGCATCATGAATGCCCTCACATGAGTAGGACTAAAAATATAATAGGAATATGAAGCCCAACCCAACCATACCTAAAGAAATGAGCAATTAAAAAAACAGCCTGCCTTGCTTGAAATACAAATGTAAAGGTAATAGTGTAAAGCAAGGAACAAAAAAAAACGAGAAAGCATTTCCAATCAATTGTGTTGCACTAACTATAAGGGAAAGTGACATCATTACTTTAAAAGGGAGTAGCCCATTATATGCAGGTTACTTGTGGATAATCTGTCATCTGATTCAAGTACAAGAAATTTGCATGATTTGGCAGCCCATGAGACTTAAAAGAACTTTGTGAATCTCATCTCATATGTATTTTTCCCCAAATATTGAATTTGGTTAAAATTGCATATTTTACCTTGAAGAGAACAGTGGACCAGTAGTGATTACAGTCACAAATCTTCTAGCATTTCTCTCAAACATATATGGTAGACAATGCAATAAATAGATATTAACTATTTTTTTTTAGCATTTTAGGATTGTTAACCATAGAGAAAATATGATATAATATCTGAAGTAATTGGAAAAGAAAAGACACACAGGACTCGTTAAAAAATGTGCACGAGCAGAGCAGATGATTGATAGATTCATTATATGAGTAATATAATAAACATTCAATATGGCAAGAAATGTTTCTAGCCAAGAGAATGTCTATCATGAGAGTATTCGTAGTTTTGAGAGCATCTCAGACAACCAGCCAATAGTAAATAGAATGCAAAGAGTACAATTTTTATGCCAAATATTGTTGATCCAACTAAAAGAAGGTGAAGAAGCATAAAGGTAGTCACATATAAGGGTAATGGAAGGTGAATCCACACCATTCCAAAGAGGCTTATCTCCA